TTCTCAACTTTAAAGAACCTTTTCTTTTTATTTTTCATCACATTGGATTCCAATTCTTTCCCTAAGGAGATGATCTTGAACTTTTTATTCTAGTTATGACACAATACTTTTCTCTTACACTTTGGAAGCTTTCATGAAAATACAACCCATTTGGGGGGCAAGCAGTGACAACATAAATAGAGCATCCCTTTGGGTAAAATTCGGTGGATGGAGGTAAAAAAATCTTCAATGTGAGAAATATATTCTAATTTTGGATTTGATGCTTGAAGGATGAATAAGCATTGAGACCTTGTGGTCAATTAAAATTAGGTAGACAGAGAGTCGACAACTAAGTTTCGAGGACGAAACTTTCTTTTAGTGAAATGGTTTGGAAAACCCAGTACTATAATGAAATAATAATTCTTTAGATTTCTTCTAAGATAGTCAAATGATCGTAGAAACTTCAAATCTTTGTAAAAAGAATGAACGTGAAGTTTGAGTTTTGCTTGTATTGACCTTCGAATCAAATTTTGCTTCAAAGGTGTTTAAACTTGAAAATGGTGGCTAGGTAAGTTTTTAAAAGTTTTTAGGTGAAAATAATATTACTATTGAATTCAGAACTCGATAAACCTTGGGATATGGAGATTATTAGAAGTTTAGAGTTATTCTAGGGTTAAAACACATTTTGGAAAGAATTCAGGTGCGATGAAATTTGACACTACCTCAGCATTTTGATCATAACATTTTATCCCGATGTCCGATCAATCTGATTCTTGAAGCATTAGTATTCAAGAGCTACAAAAGTGTATACCATGCAAATTTCATGAATCGGCATCCAACTAAGTCAAAATAGAGCCAGAAGTTTTGGGAATATGTCACCCATGTTCGATCGATAATGAGTGTGTCCGCACACACCTGTGAAGCTTTAGACAGTGACTTTGGTTCATCAGGACAAAAGATGTGTATCCGGACGTGTTTCTAATGTCGGCCAAATCATTTTTGAGTGTTTCCTCTATTTTTTACACTATAAATAATCTAGGGATGTGTTTTAAGGTTTCTATACATATTTTTCAATCCGAAGGAGCCTAGGAGAGTCTTCGAGAGGAGGAGAGGACGAGAGGAGGAATAAAAGTAGATTATGCTAGATCTTGAAGAGATCCACGTATAAAAAAACACATAAAACACGATAGGAGCAATTTTCTTCAGAATCAAGGTAGTGTTTCTTTTCATTTTGTATTTATTGAGGCTAGGGCTTATTTACATGTGATTTTTTTTATTCAAATCCATATATATACTCTAGATGTATAACTCTTTTGAAATTCTTACAAAAACATGCTCAATTTTCATTGGAAAAATACCTAATGTACATCCGATTGTACGTTTTTTATTCAAAACCTAGATCTTGGATAATGTCTAATTGATAATATTCTTTTTGCGATCTCATGCGTGTTTTATTGAATATTTCTCTATTTTAAGAATTTTGGAATCTTTATTCATAGTACACGTGAATTTTATTGAAAAAGACATGAATTACATCTCTTGTATGGTGGAATTGATGAACTTGGGTTGCACTTAAACTTGTATCTCAGAATGTTTAGATTTGTTTCTTACCTTGAGGGGTTCGATAGTTTCCTATTACTCGTAATGGGGTGTTGGTTCCTTTTGGAGTTCCAAACCACTATTTTTTCCGAGGATCAAGACTGAGGATTAATATACTACTCCGAAGAGGATTCTGTTAAATATTAATATGTCAGTATACGTGCTTGCTAAAATGTTATGGACTTGCAAGGATTGATTAGAAGGTGAAGTTTTGTGAACAAGATATATGTTATGTGTGGATTTTTGTTAGTCAACTTGCATACATGAGATATCATTATTGTAAATTGTTATTTTCTTGATGATCCTTCTTGATTATAGATTTTTTGGTTCATGTATCAAAAATCGAGATCATTACAATTCAACATATTTTACTTCAAAAGTTATATATGTTATTTTATAAATCGAGACCTACATGTTTTTATAAAATTTTGTAAACCTTGTTTAGGTTTGAGAAAATTTCTCTACTAGACTAGTTTTGCTCACCCCTTCCTTAACATTTTTTTAAGATTTTAATGTTGACGTGGATACGAAACTAGGTGTGAGAATGTTGATTGGGTTTGTGAGATAGATGGGATTGCTAATCAAGATGTGGAGGCTTGAAGAATTTCTTATTTAATTTTATCTTTTTGCATTTACGGATATAATACTTCCATAAATAATTATTTTTAAGTTAGTTTGGATATCATTGTTTTATTTAAAGGATTTTAGTTTGGATATCATTGTTTTATTTAAAGAATTTTTTGGACATCAACCTTTAATGATTGAGTTTATTTTAGAGATTTTTAGTTACTAGTAATGCATAACGTGCGTTGCATGTAAACAAATTTATATAATATTATTTTTACAAAAAAAAATGAATTACATGTTTAATTAAATTAAATAATAAAATAGGTGCCAAAAAATTAATTTATATTTTAATTATTACTAAATTTAATATTGATTTATTCTATAAATTTTTTAGTAACTAATATTTATGTATCTTTTCGACCCCTTTAGGCATTTGTACATCTAACTAATTATATTATAGAATTATTAACTTTCATTTTTTTTTTAAATAGATTATATTATTGCATAAAAAAAATAATATATAACAAATATTTGACCACAAAATTTAATTTAACAACTAAATGTGTATAATAATTTAACATATATAGAACTTTACTTCTTCATATAGATATAAATAATTATATGTAATTGTACTACCAATAAATGAGTTCAAAAAAAAATTATAAATCTTTATAAAACAGTTCAAAACAAATTGAAAATCAAATAAGTGTAAAAAATAAAAATTATATGAAAGTATATAGGTCTGTATAATTGAATTTATTATAATAATTAAAGATAAAATCAAAAATCAAAATATTTTTGTAGATGTTAATATTTATAAGTAGTATAGATGTAGATATAAATATATATATGATGTTAGATATTTGTGGTTTTAATTTATTTAATGATATTTTTAGTTAATATCTCATAATTTTAAATATTATTAATTAAATAACGTCTATTTATCGATTTAGGGCAATAAGAAGCTTAACAATCGCTTTTTATCAAAATGCAGACGTGATGCATCTATTCTTGTAAACTGGAGTTTTCTTGGAGTAAATAGGTCCAACATAAGGATACCTAGGCTGCCAAAAATGGCTGTTACCTTCCCCCAAACTTCCTCAAGTACGGGCTGTCCTTTCTCTCTCTCTCTCCGTTTTTTTTTTTTTAATAAAGGTCTTGAAACTTCACCAAAGCATACACTCACATCAACATACCGCATAAAGATGGGTCTCTAGGATAAGACCTTTGTATGACTACCAATAGATTCCCAATCAGACTAACTACTAACTAGCACCTTCCCTTAAAGAACAACTTCAATGACACATTAATCAAGTATACCAAATTGAACCCCGATATTATTTGTTGAACCAGTAGGCTTATGATTTTAAAAGGTTTTCAGTTTAGGACGAGCTATTGGATGTTAGAGTTTAGCATCTACCACGTTAATAATAGGACCGGTATGAGCTAAGTCACCGTTCTACCGGACCATAGTGCTCCCAGGCTCCTCAGACGAATCACTTGCCTTTTCAATAAACGCAAGTGGCGGTATAACCGCCGTCTTTGTATCTGTAACTTGATTTAATTAACTTAAATTTTGTTCGTATACTCCACCATATTATAAGAAATAAGGGTGCACAGTACAGTTGCCTACTTCAAAGGTCAAACCTTTGTATTATATGGATTGTTACAATTATAATATATTTAGGCTAGCCCAAAGAGAAGGATAAACATGCTTTAGTTCCATGCAAAGTTTATTCAACCGGGGAAGGATGTTGCTAGGGGTAATTTGGGGGTAAATAGTTAGTGTATCGGTAATACCACGTCCTCAATATTGTCAAGTGTATCACTATCTATTTCTAATAACAATTTCATAAATAGGCCAAGTAAACTCCACTTATTTATAATTGGGTAGTTATTTGATTAAATGAATGTGATAGTTATCAAATTTTATGCAGTTCACTAACTCATTTGCAATACAGATGAATTAATAAAGACAAGATTAAATATGATATTAGAATAATACATAATTTTATTTAGTGTTTGATAATACACAATATAAACATTGAATAGTAGTTATTTAATCCAATTAGTTGTTTGGTTAGAGAATTATTTTAACGTATTAATGTTGAATTAACAAAAATACATTCAATCAGTGTTTGTTACATTGATAACAACTTGAAGTTATTACTTGGAGTGTTATAATAGTAAATGTGTAGAATAATACGTTTGAGTTGGATTATAATGTCACCTCTTTTTGTGGTATTAAAAAACCTCTATAATACAGGTCTATCGTATAAAAAATATACTTAACGTTTTTTAAATTAATACGGTATCAAATTTGCTTACCAAACAAAGTATTAGTCCCGATTAAATAAAAAATAGCACAATCCAATATTTAATCCCCTCATAATACGTATACCAAACGAGCCCCACATGTATTAATTCAGTTTGGAGGCACCTATCCTATTTGGATTGTTCGCAACATTGATACCACATTATAATTAAAATTTGATATTAGTAACCAATTATAAACAAACACATATGAGTACTGAACCCCCTAATTCAATGTAAAAATTATTAGTGATTATTGAATTTAGTGAGATCTATTAATCTTAGGTGGTTGCATATAATTAAATGTTAATAACACGTAACAAAGATGATGTAATACAACCATTACATTCGAACATCTAGGAGGGTGGTCGTCTCTACTCGCCTCTTAGATCCATCATTGATTAGATTCGGGAAAGATGGATAATTGAATAGGGACAGCAAAGCCATATTCCCCGTCAAAATATGCTAATACATCCTCTAAAGAATCCAAAAAATATATTATAAAAAAGAAAACCTTGGATTTGCAAGTTGAAGCCATACTTTTATCCTGTTGCCACATGGACCACCACCGCGAAAGGTGTTGCTAGGGGAGTTGGCACCGGCGAGTTTCGACAGATTGGGCACGTTGGATGAAGCCTTAACCATGGGTCGATGCACGCCGGGTGGAAGAGATGACCACAGTCAGGTAACTGGCGGAGCATGTTAGCATCTACGTAGTCGGCCAAGCATATGGAGCAGCCTGAAGTGTCCGCGAAGCCTTTATGGAGCTTGGCCTCGGAGTAGAGGAGTTTTGGGTAGGTGAGGATAGTGGCTTCGTCGAGTCCTTGCTGAATAATGATTGAGTCGTCGTCGGAGGTACTGCTGGTGTCGATGGAGGTTCTGTGGGTGGAAGGGTGGCGGAGATCGGTGACGCCGCGTATTCGGGTACAGATGTAGGAAGCATAGGTGATGATAACTATTACTATGAGGAGGCCAAGGGAAATGCCGATGTCATAGCCGAAACTACCACGGCTTTGGCCACCCATTCCAGCTGTGGCATCATTGGACTCAATTGGAGTTTGGGAGGTACTGGTGGTGTTCATTTAGTCTGACGAATTGGAGTTTGTGGGGTTGGAAATGGTTGTCTTGAGAGAGAGAGAGACAGAGAGAGAGAGGGAGAGAGAGAGGGAGGGTTAGGAAAGTAAGCTCTATATGATTTTAGGGCTAACATGCTAGGGTTTAATAGGTGATATTCATAGAGTTGGGAGAAAGAGAGAAAGAGAGGAGTTGACAAGGTAGGGAGCTGTGATTTTAGGTAAGTAGGGTGCCGGGGTTGAAGTTATGTAAGAGAAAAGATGAGGTTATGGAGTTTTTAAGTAGGGAAGCTTTATCTGTGTTTGAGTGTGCGAGAGAGAGAGAGAGAGAGAGAGAGAGATATATCACTCTTTCCTTTTTAAGTGTGCTAGTCTGTATCTGTAAGAGTCAACCGCTTGTGTAATTTTTTTTTTTCGGTCTTTTATGATTCCTTATGACCTCTGCCATGAGTATTGCAAATTTCTCACCAGAATTGTCATTACTATCTAATAATATCTTAACAAATAATAAGGAAGTAAATCTTGCGCAAATTAATAATTAGCCCTTCATATAAAATAATAAATAATAATAACCTAGATGCAAGAAATTGGGATTTATGTTGCTCACTTAATATATTATTATTGGATAATAAAATCACGTGACAATACTAACATAATATTACCACTACATTTAATATTTACTCACAAACCAACTCCACAGAGAAAATATTCATTACAATTGTGATACCACGTCATTAATGACACGTGATATCACTAATTAATGATAATATATTATTTATGTGTAGTAAATCTGACAAACTAATACCTTGGAATAGTGAAATTCACTTATCATATATATTGTATTTTTATTGTTTAATGATATTACGTGTCACATATAACTTGATAACATTGTTGCTCTCAATATTTACTCCCCCAAGGAGTAACAGTCCGTCTTAAATAGTATTTATGGCGGTAAAAAACCTTTTTATGATATCATTGTCGCCACAAAAAATCTTTTTTTCTTCAAAACATGATTTTTTTGTAATGATGAACACAATTGTCACAAAAAACTTATCTCAAAAGACCTTAATTCTTATAGGCCTATCTATGAGTGGGTGGAAACTTTTATCAACAAAATAAACACTTGGTAAAAAAATTTCAAAGAAGTCCTTGCATTGACCAAGTACTATTAAGATGTTTACAAAGAAAGAACTTATATGAAAAGCATTTCATAAAAGGTGCATTTGGATGATCAGTAAAAAAATAACTATGGTGTCACTACTATTAATAAATATATTACCAAATGCTAATGTATAAGTATAAAAAATGGTAGTGGTGGTTTGGGTGTGTTGAGTTGATAGTCGCGTGATAGTGTGGGTGGTATGGCACAACGATGGTGGTGGTGCTGTGGCAACGGAGGCAATTGTGGAAATCGTGGTGTGAGGCTGGTGGTGGTATGCTAAACCAAATGTGGTATGGATACAATGACATAGGTGTCTTTTATTATCATTGGTATTAATTTGATATTTGAATAAATTATCCCATTCTATCACATGTGACGCAGATATTCCCTTACAATTAAATACGTGGGATGTTGGACACTATCTAGATGATGGGTGAATAGATTAATTAAAATGATAATTAAAAAAATCAATTTTAATCAAATTCTACTACAATTACATCTTCTCGCAATGATATGGCTATTAAGCGTGAAAATCCCTTTTCAATCACCAAAACCCATTAAACTCATGAAGATTAGTGTTTGAATATGTCAATTTCAAGATTGAACACTCAAGCTCTCACGGCGATCCAAATCCAATGGCAACCAACTCACCAAGCAATTGTGGATGATGTGAATATCAATCAATCAATTTATCAAACACATAGTACTCGTGTGTACTCAATTTGCAAGTGTATATGTAAAAACAACAAAGAATACAAGCAATTTATTGACGCAAAACCCTTCTTAGGAAAAATTGTGGGGAACCTCTATAGAGTTCACCACAGCTTAATCTACTACCCCAAAGTCAGTTTACAAGTACTCGAAATTTATACATCAACCAATACCATGATTAGATGTTCATTTCCTTCAATAAACCTCTCCACCGAAAGTCCATCTTCGACATTATGGATAGCTTCACTTGGATTCTCCACCGTAATGGATCATCTAGGTCTCGAGTGATCTTTTTTGCCAAGATCCTCAGTATACACTCTTTCCAATGAGTTTGGTTTCAATCAACCAAGTTCTTCTTCTCCAAGGTGTACGATTGGATATAAATAACAAGATGGTAGCCTTTGAATTTAGGGATCGAGGGTTATGTCTCAAGCTTGCAAGGTGTTAGATAGACAAGTCTCAAAACTAGTGCATAAGTCTCTAATCTCTAAGTACAAGAGTTATATTCAGATGTGGCCTTAAAGATCATAATCCTGCACATCACTACTAAAACTAATACCTTGTGAAAAACATATGTAAGAAAGGCATAATATAATCACAAGTACGAAAATTACCAAGAGAAGCCTAGGGAATATTCATGTTAGCAGTACACAAGTGCAAATATGCAACATATATAAGAACTACTTTACCCAATATGTTGGAGAACCTATAAATATAGCAATGGCAAAGCACAACAAGTTCTACCCCTTAGTTTGTGTTCATAAGTAAAATAACAAGTGTAAAATAGGTAACATTATGTCAAGTTTCTATATGTACTCTCCATGAGTATTGAAACGAACTCTCCCTTACTCTAACTACATGCAACTTACTTAAGCTATTCAATAGAAAATCTCCCTGAATTCTTACATATGTACTCAAAATATTTTAGCCCTTTTTGTCACAAAGTGCCAAACCAATGATATATCATAACAAGCATGGAACAGGATCAAGTCATCCGAAAATATTCTTTCCTATTTGTCACAAGTGTCAATCTAATGACATATCGTAGCAAACATGACATAGAAATATGATATTATTATTATTTTTACATAGAATTGTGATATAACAAGAGGATATATATACAAACCAACTAGGAACAATAGGCATGTAAGTATAACAAAGGACAAACTTGATACTCAACGCAAAGTCTCAAATATATAGAGCATCAAATAACATATGACTAAGAGTACACCACAAAAAAAAAAAAAAAGCAAGTGCAAAAGTCAACAAAAAGAAATAAAGTACTTTAAGTTTGCATCACCATTGCATTGGGACTAAAGTAGGATCAAGTTGTCACTTTGAATCGATAATAGATCACCTTCAACCTATTTCCCCTTAATCAACAACCAAAGTCTCCATACTCTACGTGCAATCGATCCAAAAGTTGACTGTAGAGTAGACTTTAGGCTCACAATCTGTCCAACCATAACATCTAACCTCAATGAAGTGAGGGGATGATGTTCCTTTATAGTACACTCAAGCCTAGTAAGCATGCCAACCATTGATGTCAACTAGGCAGCAAGGCCGTCCGAACTAGATTCGGGTGGGGTGCTCTAAATGTACTCACATGGGAGTGAACCGGTGGTGGTGCATGAGTTCTAGTCTCTACTTCTAGATTATCCATCTCTTTTCCTCTCGCCTCCACTACTGCAAAATATGCATCATGAGCCTTGTTCTGCTTCATTGAGCTCTTGTTCAAAGGCTTTATAGGGTTCTGCTTTTGATATTTGGGAAATACCACAACTCCCTCGCCCTTGCATATACGAGTAATCAATGATCCAAAAGGTAGAACATCTGACACTTTCCCCTCTAAAAGGCTCATCGAATGAACCCAAAAAACATCAGTGGCAGATTATAGCATATAACTTGTGTGTTACTTGAACTGGGAAGTCTAAAATATGTATAACATCCTATAGTCTTTAATCAAAAGGTTTTGGAAGAATTTCAATGTGACCTAGTGTTCAAGATGAACTTTACTATACAACTCAATAACCAAAACATGGAGACATGGCAATTGATTAACCGACTTCCCATTAATGGCATCATTCTCTACCCTAAGTAGGCCAAGAATGGTATTTATAAGATTTGCAGAAACATGAACTCAATTCCTCAAATATAGCTGTCAAAATCATTAGCTCGGGGATCTAGGTCACAAATATGAGTATAAAAATCTCTCACTATGCTATCATTTGATGGCTAAAGATCTTCGAATAGCTGTGTCTACCCTCGATTGGAGAAGTTATAGGAATAGTTGAAATTACCTGAGTGATATCCACCCCTTGCTTTATCATCACTGGCCTAAGAGCATACTCTAATCTATGCCTCTCTATAGAGTTTGGATTCTGAAATCAAGTGTTCTCATCAAAATCAATATCGATTTCCTCTTCAACCCTAGCCCTTTTCCCTCATCATGGAGGCATGATCACAAAAAATTCAAGGATCAAGATATGAACTCTAGAAATCCACTAGAATGTGTTTGGAGTTGTTTGGGTATGAGGCTTTAGGGTTTTGGGCCGCTCGAACGATATGAAGATCACTCAAGCTGTCCATGAAGCTTTACCGTCCATTTTGACATATTAGCTTTGGTTCTTCAAAGGACCATCCTTGAAGCCTCAAATTTATGCATGGGTATATTTACAACATAAATTCATCCATGTGAACATGCATGGATGAAAAATGGATACAAATATAATGCAATTTTCAATTTAAACACTAAATGCACTAATGCATCCATCCAAATTTCATCATCTAGCACATTACTCTAAGGATTATTAAATAATATAGAACTCAATTTCCATGTATCCTAGAGCAATGACCACTCACTTAGTTCAATTTCACTTACACGTGTTTAAATTTTGTATCGTTGATCAATTCATGTGCAACATGTGTGAAACTAAACTCTAACGCAATTAGGATTCCATCTAAGTTAAATCATTAATAAAGCTCTACATGAAATTCTAATGCATCGTCTAAGTGAAAACATGACTAGTTAGTGAGTGTCCTAATCAGTTTCTCTTTTTGGGCACTCCCCTTATCTTTTGTCTCTTCTACTTGTATGGCTTCAATTAGCATGATTATGAATTTCGTGCTTTTACAA